CATATAGTATCATCACTTCATTGCTTGACCTATTTTCAGCTGTGCTAGAGTTTCACGATTGCAGCTCAAAGGCTCATTCCATTTTGGCTATTTTTTGCAGGTTTATCTTAATGTTTGGTGCAGAACATTTAGGATGGCGTAGTATACTAATTTCTGCTCATTTTCTATTTTGATAGGTTCCAATGCATTACCTACAAATTGGTGAATTTGCATGGCATAAAAATTTCAAGTGAAAAGTCTGAAAAAAAATTAAAAAAGTGATTTACTTCAAGGTAAGTAAAAAGTTTACTGTAAACCATAAGTCGTACTATATGATCTTTTCAATCCATGGTGCAAATATGAAGTCATTTGAGAAGGAAGCAGTCATTTTTATAAGGTAAGCAAGATCATGTGTCTACACCGTTATACAGGCAAATGATTAAATCCTGTCGCTGAAGGCTGTAAATGTCACTTCAAATTTCTTTAAACTAGCTGTCCAAATTGGTTGATAAGTGTGTGGTATTGTTGTTTATGATATTTTCAATGCTAAAATTTGTAATTTGGTAAAAAATACTGTTTTGTAACCTCAATGATTGTGGATTTTCACAAAGTCGGTCATATGATCATATAGAGGCATCTGATTGGACCAATTAATGGCATTTATTTGTAAACATTGACTACACATACATGTGCACATGGTGAAAAAAATTTCAGATAAGTTCCTTCCTCAGCTTATTTAATGGCATGTTATGTCCAGAAATAATTTCATGATGCCTGCTGTTTTTTATTTGCTTTGTTTTTTACCTGACTTCATGCCTTTGTTTCTTTGTCCTCATTCTTAAAAGGTCTTTTTTATTTCCTTTTCTTCCCAGTTCCAAGTATGAGGAAGAAAAAGAGGACAAGTAATGAAAATCATATTTTGATTTACTGGTACGTAATGTTCTTATAATTGTACGCAAATTCTCTTTAAGCAAATTACGAGCCATTATATCCAATACTTCAAGATTTATGCACTTCCCAATGCAGCTAGTCGACCTAGTCGAATTGAGTGTATATTAACAATTAACATATTAATTAGTTTAATTAAATTTTAATATGTTATTTTCCTATCCAGATGGAAGCATTATATAGTTCTCTTTCTAAGCTTTCTATTTATGCCTTGTCTTTAAAAATTGGACAAGAAATAAAAAAGTTATAACTGTTTTTCCAGACACAAATTTTCAAACCCTTTGGAAATGATCACAATTTTCTACTGTTTTCCCATTAAGATTCAAGTATGCAAAAAGGCTTGTTTTTTCGACTTTCCAATAGCCATAACATTCTTAATCTCTGGCCTACGAGGATGATATTGGTACCAGAGTCTAGGGTTTTTCAACAACTTTCCTATGATACCAATACTTTAACATTTTATTCACTTTGATTTTTTGTGTCACATACCTATGCAATGAGTTGGGCAAAGATGAAGAGGGGAAGATACCTGGGAAGTAGTGATTGGAATGTCTGGAAGAGTGGTGGAGACTGGGGTGCCTGGATTTAGAATGGCAAAAGAATTTGACTGGGATAAGGATACTGGGGGACATATAGAAACATCTTGGGAGGAAAGGGCAGGGGTAGAGCAAAGGACAATATTGGAGAAGGAAGTATAAGAAAAGCCTTAATGACATGCTTCCTGGCTGAGAATTGCCATTTCAGACTCAAAATTGTAGGTAGGGCAGTCCCTATGACATACGTTATGGGAGTCACCAATATTGGCCAACATGCATAACTTTGCACAGTCGTTTCATTGATTATGAGCAGGCTGGGCAAATAGAAGGCATTGGGCTGTGGAATGGCAGTATTTAGCAGGATGAACTAGATGCCAACAATTCTTACATTGTCTGGGGGAGGTTAATATGGTCAGACAGGGTGGGACTCTCCACCAATCTAAGCAGTAAAGGGAAGGTCATGTTTATGGAATGTAGTCTTGGCAATATTTGTGGGAGACTTACCCTAGGGGGCATAGTGTAGCAATGTATTCATACTAAATCAAAGTCCATGAAGCACAATCTGACTAATCCTCAATGTACATGGGGTTGTTTGTTAAAAAGATGGGGATACTTCCAGTGCAAGTATTGAGGGAGAGATGAAGTTGGGCAGGAATGGGTTTGCCAGTGAAGTCAGTTAGGAAAGATTATGCTGTAGCCTGGGATTCTGATGCAAATGTGCCAAGACAGATGGCTGCGAAAGGAGATTTTGGCGACTTGTTTTTTTGGCATTACTGGAAGAGGAGTGTTTTGCAGAGTAAGGGCCTGTGGGGGAGATTATAAAAAATCAATCCCATTTCGCTGGGCTAAACAGAGTATTCAAGATGTTTGTAGAGATGGTGGTAGGAGAAGGATGGGAATGTGTAGAAGAGGGAGTAGTGTTGAGTGAGATAGAGGTGGGCAATAAGGTTTCAGAGTAATAATAAGGGAGGATGGAGTAGTTAATGAATAAAGTTGTGGGGGTGAATATAAAGTTGAATATGTTGGAAGAGGATGAA